ATAAATAAAATAAATAAATTTAACCCATTGCGCCACTGGGGGCTCCATATAATGCCCAGTATCAGTCAACCAGCAAGTCTAGCAGAATACAAGGACATCTGCAACTTCCATTTTAGGATCTCCAGCAACTGATAAACAGAGACATTTAGCCTCTAATAGTTGTAGTTAGCTGTCAAGTCAGCTTTGAACTATAGCAATAGTATGAGTAATGGTGCATCTACACGATAGAATTAATGCTTGGCATTGTTTTAATTGCCGTGGTTCAATGCTGTACAATCTGGGGAGCCATAGTTTTGTAAGGCCTTGAGGCTTTTTTGCCTAATAGTGCTGATGCTTCATTAAACTATGGCATGACTCCAGAGGACCGGGCCATCACAGTTAAAGTGGGGTCAAGCTACATTAATTCTACAGTGAAAGCCACTGATATTCTGACTAATAAGCAAGGGCATATTACATAAATAAACACACTGGGAAGCTGTTGCATTTATTCATATTGCATAAATAAATGTGTCAGGAAGCTGATGTACACCTGTCTCCCATGGTATGAAGCAAACCACTTAGACAAGGGATGGGCAAATGTGGAAGGCCAGAGGGCAATATTAATCCTCCAGGAAACCATTAATGCATGCTATTTTTGGACCTACAAATTATTTATATAACCACACGCAATAACACTTGCTAATAACCATGTTTGTTACGCAGCTGTATCCAAAATGGATACGCAATTTGCAAAACAAACTTGAAACAAATGGATGTGGAATCTCTCATGAACTTTCCCAAATTAACATTTTTCAGATGTTTTGGAGAATGACTCCCATCATCCCCAGCCACATATGCGTATTCAGCAGCAGAGTGGCAAAGTGCAAGGGCAGATGGATTATAACATATCCAGGTGTCCACTGGGCAATATTTTTGTAGAATGCTGATTCTCTCATACCAGAAGTGACTTGCAGTTTGAAGCAATTGATGTAAACATAGAAAAAAAGGGTAAAGCTGAAGGAGAGAAAAATTCGAACATTTGAAATGCATCTGAAAAAGTGGGATGGCAGAGGATTAAATGGGAATGCTTCTAGCAAAATATGACAGTTGGGAGGTATGCAACAGCTTGTCTCAGGTCCTATAAACATGAAGCAATACCTTCTTTGTTTGAGTCAATTTATTCTAGTACAGTCTTCCTCTTTTCCCATTGCATTTTACTTTACTATTATTATTTCCTAAAGAGCGTTGTCATCTCACAACATGACTAAAGAAAGATAGCCTTAGTTAGTTTTCTTGATATCTAGGATGAGTTAAGAGCTACCGGTGGCGCAGTGGGTTAAAGCGCTGAGCTGCTGAGCTTGTTGACTGAAAGGTCGCAGGTTCGATTCTGGGGAGCGTGAGCTTCTGCTGTCAGCCCTAGCTTCTGCCAACCTAGCAGTTCGAAAACATGCAAATGTGAGTAGATCAATAGGTACCGCTCCGGCGAGTAGGTAACGGCGCTCCATGCAGTCATGCCGGCCACATGACCTTGGAGGTGTCTATAGACAACATCAGCTCTTTGACTTAGAAATGCAGATGAGCACTATACCCCAGAGTCAGACATGACTGGACGTAATGTCAGGGGACAACCTTTACATAGGATGAGTTAAGGCTTCAGTTACTGTCTGATCCATTCATTTGTCTTTGCAGTCTGTGATATACATGAATGATATCCTTTCTGAATGCTCAAAAGTGTGGCAAAATGGCCATTTAGCAACATGCCGAACCTTGGAAGCACTACAGATAATCTGCAGGCTACCTACCTACCTACCTACCTACCTATCTATCTATCTATCTATCTATCTATCTATCTATCTATCTATCTACACACACACACACAATTAGACTGTGTGTTTGCAACTCCTTGGAGTCACAAAAACAGCCTTGAGGGCCATGTGAGTTCCTGACATATGGGATAAAACCCTGTTCATGCTCAGATATTATTATTGTTATCATTCACATGGGAACTTAAATACCCTAAAGGCACGAGAACCGGTCTGATCTTGGAAGCTAAGCAATATGTGAGTATTTTCTTAAGCAAGTAATATTCCTTGCTTAAGAAAACCCAATTAAATGTATTGGGATGCCAAAAAGTCAACAGATAATTTGAAGGCACACACTCCAACATTGTTCTACCAGTTTCCTGGTTTAAGCTTCTGCTTTGGGAATGGGTTTGCTCTTTGGATGGGTGGATGAAGGACTGTGGTAACACAAATGATTCAACAGTTGGACTTTGGTTACTGTAACCAGCATGACTGGTTTTTCCTGTTGGGTTTAGTCTAAGGGACAGATGCATTTGTCTCTTTCCAGCCACATCTCTTTCCGGTATTCATAGCTAACTGGTTTAGCTACCTTTCATCCAGCTGGACTGCAGGGAGTAAATATATATTTCCTGTACTTGTGTTGAGGAACTGAGGGAAGGAGAAGGCAAGATTTTATGAGATCTGCATCTCCTGGCCTTTGCTGTCCTGTAAAAAGGTCCTCTTCGTGGGAAATTCTATGGGGGTTATGCCTTGGAGAGTGAAGTAACTTACTTGTAGTCTGTTGGGATATAATGAACTACAACTCCCACCTTGCATATTTCCTGTGTGCAATGGGATTGTGTGGCTTTCACGTGTCTCATGGGCTCCACTTTCTGGAAGACTGGAATATAATGTTATAGCCATCACTGCAGTTTCTGGCTTGGCCTGATTCCCAATCTTCTCTGATTCCATCCTTAACACCAAAAGCCAGTCTCTGTCTTCTCCTAAATGGTGTTGAAGAACCCCTCTTGAATGCCCAATTTTTATGCATACGTAAATAACATCTCCCTACAAGAAGAAAAGGAGCACATTAAAAGGGGGGTTTCTCTGACTCCTTTGTTTACCCTTTATGGGTTGCTGTTTTAAATATGCACATGGGAGAGAAATCAGATATCCAAACTTCTTCCTGCAGTGATACATTCAGGGAAAGACAAACATTTGCCTTTGAAATAGTTCTGAATTTTAAATACATTTTGTTTCCTTCTATTCACAGTATATAACATAATTCTGTCCTGCCATATAATGCAGTTTCAAACTATATAATCTGGTGATGTAGATCTAGAGGAAAAGAGAATGGCAGGTCCAAGACAATGGATAGTATTTGCTCTTTTCTGCCGATAGTATAATATCATCCGCATATTGTTGCTGTTCCTTTCTCCAATTTTCAGGCCTTCTTCCTCTGAGTTCAACCCTGCTTCACATAGGAGATGTTCAGTATACAAGTAAATAGATGGGTTAAGAAAATGCAGCCTTGTTCTGCTCCCTTGCCAACTGGAAATCATTCAGTTTCTCCATATTCTGTCCTAAGACTGGACTCTGAGTATAGGTTGTAGTGGAATGAAAATCACATCTAGTTCACATCTTTACCACTCCACACACTGTCTTGCTAGAGAAACATATATGCCACGTAGATGACCAGTAAAGAATAAGGTGTTTACTCTTTGTTATGCAGAGCAACATATATACGACCATGCAAACAGTTGCATTGACTTACACAATGTCCTTTGAGAGAGATTCCATGTAAATGATCTTCTTACAGCAGCTCAGAAGCAGAAAATATACTAACTTGTCTTGACAAGCTCCTGCACAGAAAAAACTAAACATGTAACTGTTGCCAAAACTCCCAGGCTCAGCTAGCTTTTGAGTGTGGCCCAACCAATCAGCTTCATGCTTTACATTTTTCACACTCATCAACTTATTTTTACATGCTCCAACAATATGTGCTATTTTCTACCGATAGTATAATATCATCCGCACATTTTAGATTATTGCTGCTCCTTTCTTCAACCTTGTTCTACTTCCTTGCCAACTGGAAATCATTCGGTTTCTCCATATTCTGTCCTAAGACTGGCCTCTGAGTATAGGTTATGTATCAGAAGACCCATTCCTTCTTCTACCCAAATATTAAAGTTCTCTCCAGTTTTCAGTATAGCGACCTTAGTACAGCTCTGACTATTTCCAGTAAAGTATGATGGGTATTAGAGGCCATCCAAGAAGGAGGATTTTCCATTGTGGAAGGTGTGAAGTTCGAGTGTGATGACTGTGTATAAACAAAATAGTTGTAGTAGGCTTAGCCTTATCTTTTTTGGGGGGATGGCATCCATTCATATCACCTGGACTGGGTGAAGATGTTGTCACATTGGAGCATTATATTTCACTACTGGCTCTAAAGTTCCAAAGTCCAGGCAAGCCTGGGATGGATCCCATCTCCATGTTTTTATCTCAGCTTGTCCTCCTTTGACCCACTCTGATCTATCTTAGGCTTGCTGCATTCTGCTAAACAGGGAGCTAGGGACCTTTGGGACGCTGGATGCACAGGGGCTGAGGTTATAGCAAGAAGCTCAGGTTACAGCTCACGGAGTCACCCTGGCTGCCCTACGAGGGAAACTGGAGCCAGGGAATCCTTGAAAAATTCCCATCCCTGCTGAGTGTGGACATGAAGTCACTTGTTCAGAATGAATCCAGTTCTGGGTTGTTGTGAGTTTTCCGGGCTGTGTGGCAATGTTCCAGAAGCATTCTCTCCTGACTTAGGAATCTCTAAGTACTCTAAGTTCACCTAAAGTTGGCCATAAAGTTATACTGCAGGACATAGAGATTCTTTGAAAGAAAGCTTCTCTAGAAGTCTCCAGGTCCTTCAATGTGACCGTATGGTTAACATCTGGAAGAGGTTGATCCCTAACCCATGTAAAAGTGGATAGCCTACTGTAGGCTATTTTAAAGCAATGACATTTTCTCATGATAGTATATTTCCTTGGAGAGCATTGGGCTATGACTCTGGATGCTAGGGTTTAAATCCGCTCTGTGGCCTCATCACACATAGAATTGCATTGGAGGACATCTAACAAACCTTCAAGTAAATGTTGCTTGCTATTGTTGTTTATCTTCTTCTGAGACTTGCTTGCCATCACCCGAAAGGTTTACATGACTGACATCCTCATCACACTCAAGAAGTTATCTACTTTAATCCACTTTTAAGTGCTGTGACTGCCTCCTGCAGAGTTCTGGGATTTGAGTTATCTACAGTGTTTTGGTCCTTGGGAGTTCCAGTTCTTTAAAGGAAGGCAAGAAGCAATCCCCTGGGGGAAAGATGTCAAGTCTATGTCTCTTTCACTAAGAGTTTTATAGCCCCCAGGCACGACGGCATACCTGCTGCAATGCAACCTGAGCCCTGCCACATGCACAATGGAGGACATTCTTATAGCAACACCAGAGGCACTCCAAATGGCCAGCTACTGGACATTTAAAGGACATTTAATAGAATGCCAAGTTTGCAAACTTTGTGGGCTTTTTGGAATACAACTGTTTGGTTCACTCCTGACACGATAAATAAACTAGAGCACAATCTCATTCTTTCTCAGCTCAAGCATGATGAGGAAAAGGGGACTGGTATTTTAAAACTTTGTTTAAAAGGTCGTGCTCAGAGTCAACAATGTGAACCATCAGGTTACCATTTTCAACATGTGTGGGGCAGAGGCAATTGCTTTTAGTAACTCAGCCCCAGCAAAGCCCTTCTGGTTTCTCCTAATAGCATTGTTCAAGGAGGTTCAGCTTATGAGTACCACTTAGGAGTTTTGCAGAACAAACTGACGCACAGTCTTATTTACATGAATACTCAGAAGTAATCCCATGGAGTTTACTGGAGTCCACTTCCATGTAAATGAATATAGAGCACTTTTCTTTCCCATAAGCAAAACAAAATCCAAATTCATAAAATTAAAATATGAGGGTTAGTCTTAGCAAAGCGCCTGTTGCTGTCATGATTTGTAGCCTGCTGCCCTCTGGTGCCCACAACCTGCTATATTATCTATAGTTTTTCAAATACCATAATCAAATTTTCAAATAATCACTTTTTCAAATAATCAATTGCTGTTGGGATCCAGTGCAGTCTAGTGCTTTAACTATTGGACTAATAATAATACCAACTGCCTGTGACAAAGAACTGGTGGGACCACAAGCCTGAAAAAGTTACAGAAAATGAACACGTCAAACTACTCTGGGACTTCTGAATTCAGACTGACAGAGTTTTGGAGCACAATACTCCTGACCTCACGATTGTGTTAAAACACAAAGTATGGATCATTGATATTGCAATCCCAGGTGACAGCAGGATTGCAGAGAAACAACTGGAAAAGCTGACACGATATGTGGATTTAAAGATTGAACTGCAAAGACTCTGGCACAAGCCAGTCAAGGTGGTCGCAGTGGTGATCGGCACACTGGATGCAGTGCCAAAAGACCTTGGCCTGCACTTAAACACAATGGGCGCTGACAAAATTGCCATCTGTTAGCTGCAAAAGGCCACCTTACTGGGATCTGCACACATTATTCACCGATACATCACACAGTCCTAGACACTTGGGAAGTGTCCGACGTGTGATCCAATACAACAGCCAGCAGAGTGATCTTGTTTGCTGTGGACTCATCTTGTTGTGTTTCAAATAATAATAATAATAATAATAATAATAATAATAATAATAATAATAATAGAAGAAGAAGAAGAAACAAGAAAACTCATGACCATTCATCGTTCACTGCATCCTCGCAGTGATATTGACCGGCTAAATCTTACAAGTAAAACATGCAATCAAAGAAGAAAAACATGCTGGAACATATTACTCAATGTACAATTCACACATGATTGTTCTGGAAATGTGAGGACATATTTGATCAGATGTGGATAAATGAAACTTCAGGCACTGATCCCATGGATATGGGGGTTGTTACTGTATTTTTCTGTAAAATCAACACATTGTCCACATTCACAAATTACATGATACATACAATACATTTTTATCTTTCTGAAGGACTTGCACCCCAAAATACAGGAAATKTTTTGGCATTACATTCAGGACCTCATCATATTTGCTGCCAGAATTGGCACGAATAATGGCATAATAATAATAATAATAATAATAATAATAATAATAATAATAATAACAACAACAACAACAACAATAATAATAAAAACTTTATTTACATTCCACCCTATCTCCGCAGAGGGACTCAAGGCGGATTCCAAACATAAAAGACAAACATTAAATGCCTGAACACAACAACAATATACCCATAGTAACAAAATTTGGCAACCCAACATATAAAATAAATTATGACTTAACAATTAAAATTAAATAAAAAATAGAACCTGTTAAATCTGGTGGTGCATGGCRGGGGGGAACCCATCACCCACGCCTYGCATCACTCAACTTACTCCTAACTCCATCTCACTGGAGCCAACTATAGTGAGCATACAACACCTCTATTAAAACATCTTCATTGGCTGCCGATAAGTTGCCGAGCCAAATTCAAGGTGCAGTCATGACCTATAAAGCCCTAAACAGTTCRGGCCCCGCCTATCTTYGTGATTTTATCTCCTTTTATGAACCGGCGTGAACTCTAAGATCTTCCGGGGAGGCTCTCCTTTCACTCCCACCACTGTCACAAGTACGGTTGGTGAGRACAAGAGAGAGGGCCTTCTCGGTGGAGRMCCCCCACTTCTAGAATGYCCTCCCCAGGGAAATTAGACAGGCCCCATCCCTCCCCTCCTTTCGTAAAGAGCTTGAAGACCTGGTGGTTTCAACAAGCCTTTGAGAATGTCCAGTTCTAGCCCAGCCCCTAGCCATTGTTGGATATGGCCTTATTCTTCCTACCTATCTACCCAGGTCACTTCCTCTAATAGGCTCTGGAAATGAACAGCCACAGACCCGTACCTGCTATTGCTGTTGCCTGTTATAGCACTGCACTCAATTGCCGGGCCCCTCATACTTTGAGTTTACACTAACCTCAGTCCAGTCCGTTTAATTGCTTTGAACAGGCAGGATATATATATATATATTATTGCAATAATTTTTATGCTTATGTTGTTGTTAATTTTATGTTTATGTTGTTTACTCTGTATGCTTTGGGGTTTTTTGTTGTTGTTTTTTTGTCGTGTCAGGAGTGACCTGAGAAACTGCAAGTCGCTTCCGGTGTGAGAAAATTGGCCGTCTGCAAGGACGTTGCCCAGGGGATGCCCGGATGATTTTTGATGTTTTATCATCCTTGTGGGAGGCTTCTCCTATGTCCCCGCATGAGGAGCTGGAGCTGATAGAGGGAGCTCATCCGCCTCTCCCCGCAACCTGTCAGTCTTCAGTCCTGCCGGCACAGGGGTTTAACCCACTGTGCCACCAGGGGCTCCCTATGCTTTGGTGATGTTACTTGGAAATTGCCCCCTTGGAGTCCCCTTGGAGAGATAGAGTGGTATATACATGAATTATTATTATTATTATTATTATTATTATTATTATTATTATTATTATTATTATTATTCTGGGGAGAAACACCCACCACCTGGCTTCCCTCCCTATGCTGCTAATGCAACACAGAAAGCTTCCTGTGTTGCTGTGCTGGTGGCATATGCCAGTTCTTCTCCTGTTGCGCCATGGAGCCCCACCAGAAGTAGCCCTACGTCATGGAATGGGAGCTGACGGGCACTGTGGGGCAGATGGAGAGGAACCAGTGTATGCTGTCAGTTTTGGTCATTGTGATGAGGTCGTCAGTCTGTATCAAAGAAAATGCTTCCCAACCCATACATGGACTCATCCTGTATAATAAAAAACATTTAGCAACCTTAGAGGGCAGCCACTGAGGTTCATGCATCCACAACAGTGGTATCTATGAAACTTGCAAGGATATTACAATTCAAGCAGGCTCATATGAGGAGATATGGTTTTTCAGACTAATATAAGGAGCTTTCAGGTAACCCAGAGTCTATCAACAAGAATTCAGGTTAGATGGCACACAAACAAACTGAGTTGAGACAAAGAGACTAAACGACCTTCCAGTTTGGATGACAAAATCCTGTCTGGATAAAAAAGTTTCTGTCAGAGAAGTTAGGGTCAGATGTAGGTTGTTGTAGATTTTTTGGGAGGTATAGGCATGTCCTAGAAGCATTATCTCCTGATGTTTCACCTGCATCTGTGGCAAGTATCCTCAGAGGTTACATACCTTTGAGGATACTTGCCACAGATGGAGGCAAAACATCAGGAGAGAATGCTTCTAGATTATGGCCTGAAAAAACCTACAACAACCTAGTGATTCTGGCCATGAAAGCCTTCGACAATACAGGGTCAGATGTATATTATTCCCATACAGCATTGAAGAAAAAAGTGGAAAGAGATTTTCCTTATTCTGGATCTTGAAGTCACACTGTTCTTTTACCAAACTATAGTTTTAGCTGTTTGTTCCCAGTCTGTCCCCTGGCTCTATAAACTCCTTTTCCACTCTTGCCACTACGGATCTTGTAAGTGGCATTGGATTAAGGCTGGGCTTGAAGGGAAGACTCTTCTTGTTAGGTTTCCAACAGGGCAGCCCTCCTGGCTGAATGGTGACAATCTGAGTAGAAAGCACTCCAGAACGTTTTGTCAACAACCTCCTCATGGCAGCTTTCATCTCCTTGTTCTTCAAGGCATACACCGTAGGGTTCATGAAAGGGGTGATGGATGTATAGAAGACAGAAAGCACTTTATCAAAAATGAAATGGTTATTGGGCTGGAAGTAAATAAACATAATGGGTCCAAAGTACATCGCAACCACAATGAGGTGAGAAGTGCATGTGGAGATGGCTTTAGAGGTCCCCCCAGAAGTGCCCTGGGAGCAGATTGTGTAGAGGATGAGCCCGTAGGAGAGAAGCAAGGCTCCCAAACTCACCAGTATCAGGATGCCATTGTTGACCACCATCATGACCTCCAGAAGATACTTGTCCATGCAAGCCAACTTGATGAGCAAAGGCATATCACAGAAAAAACTGTCCACACGATTGGATCCACAAAAAGGGATGTCCACAGCAAAGCCTAATTGCACACTGGTATGGAGGAGCCCGAAAAGCCAGGCAATGAGCACAAACCTTATGCAGTGGCACCTGCTCATGCGTGAGGCATAATGGAGAGGATAGCAAATGGCTACATATCGGTCATAAGCCATGAACATCAGCAGGAGCATTTCACTGCCACCAAATAAATGGAGGAAGAAGAGCTGTGCCATGCAACCTTGGAAGGAGATGATCTGGCGTTGGGTGATTAAGTCCACAAGAGCCCTGGGCATTGCAAAGGAGGCTATGCCAAGGTCCAGGAAAGCCAAGTGGCCCAGCAGGAAAAACATGGGTGAATTGTAGAACCGAGGCTCCTGAAAGATTGCCAAGAGAACAAGGATATTGCTAAAGAGAGTCGCCATGTAGAGGAGGAGAAAGATGATAAATAATACAAGTTGAGCTTCCCAGAATTGAGAGAAGCCCAGCAGGATAAAGTCATTGAGTTTCGTCTTGTTTTCCCACGCCATTCACTTCCTATCTATTAAGTGAGGCAACAGGGAAGAGAGAAAGACAGCAATGAGATACTTCCATCACAGGGTAGAATTAATGCAGCTTGGCACCATTTTAAATACCATAACTCAATGCTTTGGAATAATGGGAGTGGTCGTTTTAGAAGGTCTTTAGCCTTCTCTGCTCAAGAGTGCTGTTGCCTCAGCAAACTACAATTTCCATTATTCTATAACAGTGGTGCTCAACCTTCCCAATTCCATGACCCCTTTATACAGATTCTCATGACTCCCAACCATAATTTTGTTGCTACTGTAATTTTGCTACTGTTATGAATCGTAATGTAAATATCTGATATGCAAGATGTATTTTCATTCACTCAACCAAATTTGGCACGAATACCCGATACGCCCAAATTTGAATACTGGTGGGGTCGGGTGGGGGGGATTTATTTTGTCATTTAGGAGTTGTAGTTGCTGGGATTTATAGTTCGCCTACAATCAAAGAGTATTCTGAACTCCACCAATGATGGAATTGAACCAAACTTGGTACACAGAACTCCCATGACCAACAGAAAATACTGGAAGGGTTTGATGGGCACTGACCTTGAGTTTTGGAGTTGTTGTTCGCCTACATCCAGAGAGCACTGTTGACTCACACAATGATGGATCTGGACCAAACTTACCACAAGTACTCAAAATACCCAAATGTGAATACTGGTGGAGTTTGGTGAAAATAGACCTTGACATGACATTTGGAAGTTGTAATTGCTGGGATTTATCATTCACATAGAATCAAAGAGCTTTCTGAACCCCAGCAAGCATAGAATTGGGCCAAACTTCCCACACAGAATCCCCACGACCAACAGAAAATACAGTGTTTTCTGATGGTCTTTGGCAACCCCTCTGAAACCCCCTTCCAACCACCCAGGGGTCCAAACCCCCAGGTTGAGAAATGCTGTTCTATAACATGCAGCCATGCCATTAAAGTGGTACCAAACAGCATTGATTTTAAAGTATAGATACACCCCCAGCAAAGCCAGCATGGCATCATGGTTTGAGTGAATTCCAAGAGATCAGAATGGAAATCCCAACACAGTTGTACAAACCTGCTAGCTGACCTTGGACTAATCACATTTTCTTAGTCTAAGATAAGCTTTCTCTTAATAAATCTTGGCAAGACAATCTTTAGAAAATGTCACCATACATCAGACTTGACTCGAAGGCATGTCACAACAACAGAAATCAAACCTAGCATTACTAAAATGAAGCTACCACAAGGTAGACTTGGGATTTGGTTGGGAGAGAAAGATTCTAGAACAGGCATGGGCAAACTTGGGCCCTCTGGGTTGTTTTGGACTTCAATTCCCACAATTTCTAACAGCTGTTAAGTTTGCCCATGCCTGTTCTAGAAGCACATCTCTCTCTTTTGGATAGTTCAAATGGAACAACAGTAGATTGCTAACTATTTGCCCTCCTTTTATGACTGCCAAATTTTGCTGACTTTTGTTTTGCCATGCTTCCTTGTACCAAAAACTCATCTAAAAGCTTTTCAGAAAATCTATATAAATAAAATCTATATAAATAAAAATGGAATGTTCCTTTGTGGGATTAACATAACTCAAAAATCACTGGACGAATTGACACCAAATTTGGACACAAGACACCTATCAGGCAAACAAGTGACCATTACTCATAACAACACTGAAAAACACAGTGGAATGGACTTTAAAATCCAAAAAAAGCAAAAAGATGCTTCAGTGCATGTGCAAAAATGACTCCCCCCAGCAAACAAAACACACAATAGCGTATCCACACTCTCTTCCGGACTACAGCTCCCAGCATCCCCCAGACCAGGCCCTTTAGGAGAGGAGGATGATCCAAATGCATTGCTTCCAAGCTGCAAGCTTTCTTCTCCTTGGATTTCTTTGAGAGCATCCCAATTCCTGCATATTTCCAGTTTCCTGTTCCTGGACTGCAACTCACAGCAATCCTCCAGAAAGATAGATTAGATGGAGATAGGCAGGTAGCTAGATCGATCAGGAGGACTGCTGGGAGTTGCAGTCTAAGAATAGGTAGAGAAGGAAGAAAGGACAGAAAGAGGAAGGGAAAGAAAAGGTGTGGGGGATGGAAGGGAAAAAGAAGAGAACGAAGGAAGGAGAGAAATAAAGAAAAAAGAGAAGGAAGGATGGAAAGAGGAAGGGAAGGAAGGAGAGAAAGAAAGAAGAGAAAGAGGGAGGGAAGGTTGGCCACAGCAATGCTTGGCGGGTAGAGCTAGTATAATATAAGGTTTTCTCTGTGAAAATGAGTTGACTTCTCTTATATCCACTTTGGGTTTGGGTGAGGAGGGGAGTGCCCTCAACTGTTTCCAAATTCTCACCTACCAGGAAATTCCACCATGTGCTTCTTGAAGATTTCTGGAGGAACTTCTGACATTCTCCATCAGCAGACAATGAATGGGCTCTCCTGCATTATGTGCCTTTGAGAAGCAGGTAGAAGATGTATCATCGGTGTTCAGAGGAAAGCATGAGTAGAAGAATAGCAAAAGAGCGAAGACAGGGCAAAATGAACTGGGCATGAAGCTTGTGTTGGGTAGACAGCTTGATGGCTCTCTGGTGACTTGAACTGGAGTCTCTCAATATCCTATGCAGCTTTGTAACCTCTCTTACACATTGCCAGAAAAAATAATCATCTTTTCTCTTTTCCCTTTGTGCTTTCAGGTATGACTTCTAGCCCCTAAAGGATACCCTTTGGAAGCACCCTGAGCAAGAAGGGGGCCTTGAGAGTTAAGACGGAGACACTTCATTCCTGTAACTCTCAAGGATCCCCATAGGGAGAGGGAATGTCAGAAAGAGTCGGGTGGGAAAGGAGACAAAGAGATAGATCTGGATTCCAGAGGATAACATTTTTTTTCCTGTTGTTAACACTATGTAATAAAATTTGAAAAAAGTTCTGTTCTTAGTTTGAAAGTGTTATTTCCTGTTTCATTGTATGGTCCTTACTTGGAAAGTAGTTGTTAAGCACCAGAAACCTCAGTTTTGTGGCTGCCACAAACTATGTTGAAAGGGTTGAGATTCTAGGCGATTTTCATTGAAAAACTATAGCAAAATGTGCTGCAGGACGTCCCACAAAAGCTAAGTTTTTGTAGTCTAATAAAGTTTTCCTATGTTTTTATAATAGAACCAATTCTGAAACGACATTTATATCCCAGGAACAAAAATCGTGTTACATAGTATAATGAGTCAAAGCAGTGTGTGTATAGAGATCAGAGTGTTGGATTGGAATTTGGGTTTCAACCTCTCATTAAAGAAGGAGGATTCACCATCCTTGTGATCGGAGGTGGACCCCCCCCCCCCCAGTTCTCTGTAAAAGATAGTTCAAAATCAGGGAATTCATAGTTTTGCCAAGGACACCAGGCTGGAATGATCCCATAATCCCCTATCTCTCCCCCATGCAGGGGTGGCTCAACCCATTATGCAAAGTAAGCATTTGCAGTATAGTTGATTTTGCCCAGGGGTGCTCTTGAGGCGCTCTTGGGGGAAAATAGACCTTGACATATGCGAGTTGTAGTTACTGGGATGTATAGTTCACCTACAATCAAAGAGCATTCTGAACTCCACCAATGATGGAATTGAACCAAATATGGCACACAGAACTCCCACGACAAACAGAAAATATATATCAGTGATTGGTTGGGGGGGGGGGCACCAAAATACTGTTTGCTTACCGTTGAAAATTATCTAGGGCCACCTCTGCCCCCATGTGGAAACCTAAGGCTTTTTCCAGGGCCCCACATGGCAATGCCCCGTAACCCAAAATAGCATCAGAGCAATTTGGCTATTATTTATTAATTGGATTCCTTTTTATGAATGAAACTCCTGTTTTATGAATGGACTCCGGCTACTCAGTGATCCTAGGGCCTTCTATACACCCCCATGAACTCTTATGAACTCTTATGGACTTTCCATGAACTTTCATGAACTTTATAGGAACTTTTATAAACTCTTGCCAAACTTTATGAACTTTTATGGACTTTGGGGGGCTGACATGACTTCCCCTTAGACCCTGCATGATCACCCCTCTTCCTTTGAACTCTGTGTATGCTCCCCTGCCCCATTCCTTATTCCATATATGTATCGATGCCTATATGAAAAATATGAAGGAAAGCAGCCTGTTTCATAAAAACAAGCAACTCGTGACTCTTGGAGTTTCCAAAACTTCCTGAGCCAATAATTCCCTAACAAAGGATTTCACCAAGCCCATTTGCATGGACAATAAGTAAATGGCTCTTATCAGACTGGACCTCGGAGGGCTGAAAGCCAGGCCATCTGGAATGATAGGGTCTAGGGACATTTTGGATCACCCAACACAAAGGACGTCTCTCCATCTGTGAGGAACTGGACATTTGTCACTGCCTCCCTGTGATATGGAGTTCATTGATGAAGTTGATGCTAGTTTTGGGAGCTCAAGATATGGCACACCATATCTTGAGCTCCCAAAACTAGCATCAACTTCATCAATGAACTCCATATGGCAGGGCACCATGACAAAAGGACCTAGCCTCTAGGGGCTAGACAGAATATTAATGCAGAGAATCAGACAATAATCTAGGCCAGGCTTGAGAGCCAAAAAGCTATCGCCCAGCCATTTGGCAAACACGGCCATTCTTAATCCAGTCAACTAGACATTTCTTCATTGTTTCCTTGTTGCTCGCCTCCCTTCCACTTCATTGGCTGAGCGGCCAAAAGCAGGGCCAGAGCCCTCATTGGATCTCCTGCTGGCTTGCTGATGTCACAGCCATTCATAACAAAGCCAGCTTAAGGGGGGGGCGGGGGGGGCATGGGAACTTTTGGATCTGAATGCTATATATTTTATATTTCTCTGCCCAGAGGGCATGTCAATTTTGTTAGCAGGCTACTGCAATCGTCATCCTTTCCAGCTGGAATGAAATAAAACCTCGGTGGCTTTCTCTTCAACTTGGTGAGATTTATTCTGGAATGCTGGCTTCTCTTTCTCACCAG